CGCACGCAAGAAAGTACGCGCAAGATGCCGAAAACCCTTAGCAGGATGCAGCGCACCCTTCATGCGACTCGCCGAATATCTCACGGCGCTTCGCGCTTGGTGANCCCCCCCTGTGCGATCTCTCCGACCCAGGCGCGGCAACATAGCCTTTTCAAGACACCCCGATGCGATCTATTGATGGGTGCGATGCCCAAAGAATACGGAGGTTTTACAAATACTCTGGTACTATGCATGCGGCGGTGCTGCATTCACACTTACCGGTGCGATAGCCCCATTGGGTGCGATACTGAGACCGCGACTGACTCTTTTAAGGCGTTGCCCAGATTATCCCCCTCACCACATTGGCCCAAGTTTTTCCTCATTCCACTAGATGAAGAGCGCCCGGTCCCACCTCCACACGTGTACGAGGAACCCACATGTACCTCATTCACTACAGCTCAATAAAGTGGCCCAGGCCCACCTCAGGAGCACTCAATCCTTGTATTTGAGGTCGGAGACATCGCAACCCGTTGCGATCTCTCCTACCCCATATCCAAGATCGAGTGATCCGCAGGTGGGCCTGGGCGAGTTTTTTAACTTTAGTACCGTGAGATTGATGTGGGTACAGTACTGGGCCCTCTATAGTGCAGGTTTATGTCCAGAAAATTTACCTGTACAGTAGCGGGAACCTGCACTATTCAGAATAGTGCGTCAATAGTGCAGGTTCGGCGCAATTGAGGCTTTGAGTATGCTTGATTTCATGGTGTAGCGTTCATGCGTCGCGGGGCCAACAGAGTACGAAATGGATCGAATTACAGTAGTGCTAGGCCTTGTTCTAGCGTGGGTGTGGGCAGGCTGTCCCACGACCCGTGTGGTTCCCCCCTGTCGTACACAGATATATAGAAAAATTACTTGCAAGTTGAATCGTTACTTTCTTCCTGTCTCAGCACTCGTACTACTGCACACCGTAAACTGTCGCATGAACCAATCCTTCAACATTAATACTTAGTGGACGAAGCTATATCTCAGTCCTCGCCGCCCTCGTTCGATGTTGCAAGATAAAAAAAAGAACACCTAGGAACCGCACTACAAGAAAACAAACAACCACTACGGCTACAGCTGTAGACTATGTAACCCCGCCCTCACTACGTCGCGACAAATTCTCTCATGTCCGCCTGGCGAATCCATCAATTTGAGAATCTCAAGCTTCGTGTTGTTGTCAGGCCGCGCACGAGAACCAGATCCCTTCTTACTCCCCGCCTTTGTTTTCTTCGGGCGTGCGTCTAGAATGATGGTCCCGCCCCAGCACCCTCAGCTGGTGTCGCTTTGCGCTTGCCAGCCTTGGCGACGCACTTGCTGCAGATGCGGTGCTTTTCGTCGTCCTCAATCATGCTGCCGCAAGTGCCGTGGAGCCGCCCGCCACACCCTCCCTTGCAGACGGGGCCATGAGGGGCTTGCGGCGTTCTGCTTGTTGATGGCGGCACAGTTCACCGTCCGCACAAGGCTTGTTGCGTCCCTGCGTGAGCTTTCGGGTCTGCAGCAGCACGTGTACCCTGGTTTCTGTGTTGCTGTCTGTTCTTATCCGTGTGTGTTTCTTTTACTAGCATCGACCTCGCTAACCGGCTGACCAATGAAAATACGTCAGTCAGTGCGATTGAAAAAATAAAACACTTCTAGACTAGTCTAAATGTCACTAAACGGGACGCCATGAAGGGGTGGCTTGGGGGAGTCTAAGCTATTTCCGGATTAAAGACAGAAACGGTAGCTACAGCAGGTTTGCACGTACGTGTCGATGAAGGCTGCTACCTTGCACTCTAGCTCGTTTTGGAGCTTACCGTCATCCTCCTTCCCTCCAACTCCATCGTTCTCACCATCATTTGTGTGTGTGTCCAACCTGCACTATTGCGGGGCACCGCTTGCACTATAGTGGGACTGCCCTCAATAGTGCAGGTCCTGCACTGTTGAGGGCGTTGTCTGTGTCCAGAGATTTCACCTGCACTATACCGGGCACCTGCACTATTCAACCTGCATTAAAGAGGGCCCAGTACTGTACCTGTTTCAAGTGAGGGGTGACCAGGTGGCTCTTTGAGCTGTTGCAATGAGGTGGTGCATGTCGGCAACTTTCGCGTGTGGTTGAGGGGATAATCCGGGCAACACTCTGATAAGAACGGTCGTGGTATCTGTATCGCGCCTGTAGGGGTTTGTGCACTGGGGTGCACCGGGGTGCGATCTATCCACACTCCGGGGCGGAAGTACAAGATAGTCCATGTCGTTTTTGTTTTTCTTTGCGCACCCAGGGTGCTCATCTCTCCGACGGGTGCCATCTCACACTTTTACGGTATGATGTGGAACGACCAGGGCACGGGAAACCCCACCGGCCTATCTACCCCACAGCATGGCAATCTGCATGCTCCGTGAGATGCGAGGTTCAAGCCCCCGCGGCTCAGACCTTACTGTCCCCAACATCGACAACACCTATCTCTTAATGAAAGACCAGCAGAGCGGTGCTGCTACAAGTTATAGATAGTTGACGTCAGAGGGTCAAGGTTTGGGCCGGCCCACCAAGGTTGTTTCTCTGGTGACCACGCGTATTGCTCTCTAGGCGAATACTTGCCGTGTGTGGCGATCACTACTGCTGCAAGCTCGTATGCCAAGGCGACGACGATGAATGTCCATTGTCCAATGGGTGCTCGGCGTGGTTTGTGTCGCTCCCCCCGCCCCCTGCGTAGGGTCTATGAGTTTCTTACTCACATACTAGGTCTCCGTGCACCTGCAGAACTCGTACTCGTGCACGGATATCCTATCCTGACGCCGGCTTTCTCTGCTCATTGCCTATCCTCGTCTCCAGCCTTGCCGAGCAGCCACCACCAGTGCACAGGCACAGCATATGGAGGCAAGAATGAAGTGGACACGAATAATCGAGTCGATAGAGTACCATGAATACCTTTCCGCTGTTGTCCAACCGCTATTACTCTGTCTCTCTCTCTGCCCCGTGTCCTGCCCTCCTCTCCAGCCTTAATCCCACAAGCGCAGTGACAACACGCGAGAGACGTTAAGCCTTTCAACGGGCGGGCTCAATTTTGGAGCGGAACGTTTGACGTAAACGTCGATCACGATGATGATGATGATGGGCGCGATGCGAGGGGTGAGGAGGAGCTTGTGCCTGGTGGTGAGCCTGGTGCTGCTCTCGGCGGTGTGCGTCAGCGCCGGGAAGCTGTGGGGCGTCGACGTCGGAAAGAAGGAGGATGTGAGCAAAACTCTGGCAGGACAGAGAAGCGGTGTCGTAATACGGCCGCACTGGCTGCCGTTTTGCAGACTGTCGAGGAGGCCACTCTCTCGTTTTTTTTCTTGAGCGTACAATGAAAATCGAACGAGCCTCCGACGGTAGGTCCATGTCGCACGGGAAGGACGTGGCACAAGGTGATGGTACTGCCATTGTAGTCATGTGTAACCCCCGAGGATGCTGTTGCTGCTGCCCGCACAAGTTGTGCAGCATCTTTCCACTATCGAGTAGCGTTGGACAACTTCAGCGGTAGGCTCTCATGAGCAGCACATCAGCGGTCGTATAGACCCCAAGAGTCTTGCCGTGGATGGCATGTGTTGGGGCCGGTGGCTTCCAAGCGCCATGCACGCGGGTCCTCTACGTTCCATAGTCGCAGCATTCGCTCTTGGTAGCTTTCCTTACCCCGAAGACGTAGCCGTTTCACCCTGCTTTGTTTCTACGGGTGTGTCCTCCATGAGGTGCCCTGGCTAGTACCGTGCACGTGTCAAGTACAGTACGTGCTTTGGTGTTGCGTGTTTTTTGCCCCGACTCGACCCTCTTGCCCCGTCTGCATGCTCCCCCCCCCTCCCTTTCTTTCCATCTCGACGGTTACGCAGAAGGGGGAGTTCGCATCCCTGTTGAATAAGGCCACCGGGATGGACCGGGGAGCCGGGGCGGGCGGCGGCATCGGGGACGAAGTCGGGTGAGAAGGATGGAACAAGACACACACATACCGCGCATGAAGGAGGGTTTCACCTTGTTCCCAATAGAGCTCTGGGCCCTTGCTTCCGTAGGGTAGGCAGCGGTGCTTCTCCGCACGACAGCAATACGATGCCGAATGGTTGTGTGAGGCTCGCACTTATGCTTCGTGTGTGTGTTGTTGCTAGAATCGACCCGCGTGTGTTTATTTGGTTGTTGTTAGCATTGACCGCGCTAGCCGGCTGGCCAACGAAAGTGTTCCTGTGTGTTTTGTTGCTAGCATGCGCAGCGCCATCCGTCAATGAAAACGACCTCAGTCTCTAGGCGGCGGCAGCAGAAAACTCCTTTGAGACAATCATCTGGGGCCCTGTGACCAGGCTATTCTCCGGAACCCACGCGTCTCCCAACGTCTCTGCTTTGTCCGTTTTCCTCCCTGAGTGTATTGTTGCTGGTTTCGTGTGCGTGCCCGCGCTTAGCGTCTCATTCCGACTCAGTTGGGTCGATCTACTTGTTTTTCTCTTTGGACCCGCTAGCACTGCCCAACTTTTGTTGCGCGCGATTTTTCATTCCCGCTTTCGAGGCGAAAAATTGCTCTTCGTGCGCTAAGCAGACACGTGTTATGTCACGGCGTTGGCGTTTTTCCCACCCCTTCCCTTTCCAGCCTGATACTGGCGCAGGTCGCGGACATGGACCTGTCGCAGCTGAGCCTTTCGGAGTTGGGCACCAACATTATCGACGCGTTTCTGGAGACCATCAAGGACGACCAGGTGAGCACGGAAGATGGGATCGGTCCCGCCGTCGTCGTTTCCCGTGTCGCTGGTGCCATTGGGGTACTTGCTGGGTGTGGCCGGTTGATGTGTTTTTACTGGTGTTGTTGATGTTGGTGGTGGTTGGTGTTGAGTGTTATTGTAATGGGCTCGTGTTGTTTGCCGGACGGGTTTTCTGGAGGAGAGAGGAAAGAGTCGCCGTTTCTCACGTGGACACGGCACGTGACGACGTGATGGTGGTGAGAGGGGGCGACATCCCACGTGATGATCTTCGCAATGATCGGGGGGTAGGAGATTGGGCAGGGGGGGGGGGG